ATCCTATTAGTACTACCTAAACATTTGTGCCTGGTTCTTATATACAACAGTGAGGGGCAAAACGGAAACAGCTAACAGAGGTACCTATCTTCTAAGACAGTTTCTGAGAGTGACACATGCTGATCCATTATCCCATTATTGTTAGATGTACAACTCAGCTATTTATTCAAGTTCATCTATTTTTTTGTCCCAAAAGAAATAATGAATTTACCATCCTCTTGGGGACTTATTTAGCTAATACATCACAAAAATATCACTTATAACAGTCTGATTGGATCTGTATATACTGAAAATTGAAAGGAGATTAAGGACCCAATCTTGCACTGCACAGAGATGTTACTTCTGTAGGAGTTGTGAGTGCTAAGGAATGCAGGGTCAGACTCTACCTGTACCCTTTCCAAGAGTCTGATAGCAGCAGCCTGTATGTGCACACCTCCTTGGTGTGGCATAGAGGGATCCTACACATTTTTCTCAGTGGGCAATATTCTTAGGTAGTTAGAAGATAGTTTTTTTTCTTGAGTAAACATCTGTGCTGATGTTTAATCATACAAATATGCATCATTCTGATAATTTGGTTACTGTTTCATATGAGCTCTTATCCCTTGTCATGTCCATATCAACTCCTTAAACGGCTATCCTGACAGATTTCAGTGTAACAGCCGTGTTAGTCTGTATTTGCAAAAAGAAAAGGAGTACTTGTGGCACCTTAGAGACTAACCAATTTATTTGAGCATAAGCTTTCGTGAGCTACAGATGAAGTGAGCTGTAGCTCACGAAAGCTTATGCTCAAATAAATTGGTTAGTCTCTAAGGTGCCACAAGTACTTCTTTTCTTTTTATCCTGACAGATAATTTTACAGTGAAGTGATTATTATCTTTCATAATAAATCAGTACCCAAAATGATTTAATTTAGGAACCAGGATAACTTGCCTCCCCAGAGTTCTTTTTAGACTGAATAGACAGGAATCCTTGCATAATTTTCAGTTTTATCTCTCTGGTGTGACTAATTACACAGACTTTATAAACAGATTGTTATTATGACACAAATAAAATGTGAACATGGGTCTCTTGGACCATGGATGTACCAAGATGCCACATGCACCTAAAGGCCATTTTTTAGTTCAAGCTTAGAAAAGACAGACATTATAAAGGGAGTGAAATGACTGAGATAATTAAGGTTGCATGATAGTTTTCATTCTAATCCCTTACATTCAGGAACTTTTAAGTTTCTGACCATTTCATCTTCTGAGTTGAGTTTTTCCAGGCTTGGTCTGTGCCTGAAGTTAATTTTTCTTTTAAAAGTTTGAAATGGTTGCATTAATTATGGCTGCAAGCAGACTGGAAAATATACTTTTTACCTTCTAAAAAGATTAAAAATCATGTAGTGGTTTTTTTGAACAGCTCACCAGAATGGCTGGGATAGAAATTTGATGGGGAAATAGCCTACTCCCAGGACAAATATTATGGTGAAATTAGGTTTGTTTTGACTGAGCTATGAGTCTTTTAAAATGGCAGTAGATTTGTATGTGCTTTCTTGCTCTAGGACCCAGTTCTGTCACCCTAACTTATAATGAGCCCAATCCATTCCTCCCAGAGGAGAATACTGCTTGTCCACATTTAGGGTGGCAAAACTGGACTTTCTGCTTGTAAAGCGTGTGGCTAAGGAAGGCTGTGCTATGCATGCATACATGGCTAACTCAACTTCATAGTGAGAGTAGTTCAGGAGCACAAGCAACAGCCACAATAAACCTTATTGTGTGGTGGGGGGGATAGAAGGGGAGCCCTGGCCAACATGTGGGAAGGGTTCTGTGTAACCCGTTCTCACTGGTTTTGAATATTCACACTTCCAAATAGATGTTGAAAGTGCATACATAGGTTCCAGCCTGGAGGTGGGCAAACTACAGCCCGTGGGCCACATCCAGCCCGCGGGCCCATCCTGCCAGGGAGGCTAGTCCCCGGCCCCTCCCCTACTGTCCACCCTCCCCCGCAGCCTCAGCTCGCCGTGCCACCAGTGCTCTGGGTGGCGGGACTGCAAGCTCCTGCCGGGCAGCGCAGTGGTGTGGCTGGCTCCGGTGCATCTGCCAGACATGCTGCTCTGAGTGGCATGGTAATGGAGCAGGGCGTGGGGGGGGGGTTGAATAAGGGGCAGGGGGTCCCAGGGGGCAGTCAGGGGACAGGGAGCAGGGGGTTGTTGGATGAGGCAGAGGATCTGTGGGGGGAGCGGTCAGGGGATGGGGAACGGGGTGGGAGGTTGCATAGGCATGGGAGTCCCGGAGGGCCTGTCAGGGGGCAGGGGTGTGGATGGGGTCGGGGCAGTTGGGGACAGGGAGCAGGGGGGTTGGATAGGGCGAGGGGTCCGGGGGGGGGGCAGTTGGGGCGGAGGGTCCCAAGAGGGGGCGGTCAGGGGACAAGGAGCAGTGGGGGTTGGATGGGTGGGGGGTTCTCAGGGTGGCAGTCAGGGGGCTGGAAGTGGGAGGGGGCAGATAGGGGGCAGAGGCCAGGTTGTTTGGGGAGGCACAACCTTTCCTACCTGGCCCTCCATACAGTTTTGGAACTCCAATGTGGCCCTCAGGCCAAAAAGTTTGCCCACCCCTGTTCGAGCCTCATAGTCCATAGCGAAGAAAACTCTCCCTGAAGACAAGTCATAGGAAGGACTGCAGGACTTGACGACCCTTGTGAGTTGATACTCACACTAATGGTTTGTAGGATGCACTTTAAATTACTAAATTTTGCCAGTCAGAGAATAGGGGCCAAATCCTGTTCCCAGTGAATAGCCTGAGTAGTGAGATAGGCTTCCTTCTGTCCTGCAGAACTCCTCAGCAACCTATCTCCTAGGCCATAGAGAAACAGCAGAGCCACTCCCTGGCCACTACTGCAGCTTTAATGCCATTATACCCTATGGTGTTTGTGGGGAATGAGTGTTGGAGATGCAAATTTGCAGCTCCACCAGCTATATCTTTGCCTCCCTTCTGGCCTGCCTTTGCTTTGCTTCTAAATGTCGTACATGTATTTGGGTGTAAGGAGCCTCTGTGGCTCTCCAAATTCTTCCTCTTCCCCTCCTGTGCACTGGAATAGTAGCTGTTCTGCTACATTCAGGTCCAACCATGCCCAGTGAGGAGAGTGGAGTGGAAGAATGTGCCCCTTAGTGAACAAAGACAGTAAGAAAAACAAGGATAATGCATCACAGCATGTGGTTTGCTCAGTGCAGTTTAATGTTAATTATTTATGATACTTCACAATTTTCTAGTAACTATTCTGTAGTATATTGGATAATGTTACATATCCGCTCTGTGTTCTTGGGGAACCAGGGCACAATACCCAACTTGTTTGATTCACAAAAGACCTCCCCTCCCCAATGCAGCCTCTGCTTGAACCAAAACCGATCAGAAGAAAGACTTATAAAAAGCAATGAAAAGGCAGTAGGAGATGCACCTAACCCCCTGAGAAAAGGGTGACAGGATTAAAGAAACTCCTCTAGCCTCATTTGCATTGAAGATGGGACAGAGAGGCATCTCCATTAGCATACAGAATGGAGAACAGAGATTCCAAGGCAAGAACCGCATGGAACTCTGGGAGGAGAAAAGTAGAAAAGCACTGCATGATGGGGGATCTCTGCTCCAGATGTTAATGAACCCATGCCTGCATACACCCAGCTTAGTAGTTATCAGACCAATTCTAGTAATAAATCCTTTATTGGTAACCAAAATAGTGAAACTCCCTAATTGCATGGTGAGCTCCCTCCAAGGAACACCGCTCATAGCGTGGAATGATCAGTTCCTATTGTCTAGCCTGCACAAAACAACTTTGGTATATTCCCTCGAGCCACCAGTTTACCCATAAAGAAATCTAGTGTTCTCCCTTGAACCATTGTTGTTTCCCTACAAAAACCCCTACCCATGCTCAAGAAAGTGTTCTGATGGCTGGATCCAAAATCTGCATCAGTTCCATGGGGACGTCATCTTCTCCTGACTGATTGTACTGGGGGCTCTGCTTGTCTCCAGCACTCCGGACTCTCAGCTACCACCACCACCATCTGAGACCCCTGATCGATTCAAGCTTCCTGGAGTGGTGAGAACCCATCTCTCTCTCTCTCTCTCTCTCTCTCCTCTTCTCCCCCACCCCAACCTGTGGGTGTTTTTTGGCTTCCTTATTCGCTCTGCAGCAACGCTTCTTGTACCTAAACTAAAAGATCCCTGCAGTGCCCAAAAATCGATTCAAGCTTCACGGAGTGGTGAGAACTCAGCTCTTTCTCTAGGTATAGACTTCTGACCCTGACTTGTGTGATCAATTATAGTTTTCTAAAGCTGACTTTTATAATCAAGTTTAAGTTAGATTTAATATTATAACTGTTTTGTTTGTTTGGCTCCCCTATGGTTGTTACCTGGCAATACATAACTTTCATGGTTAAGCTGGTTGCTTCTCTCTCTCTCTCTCTCTCTCTCTCCCTCCCCTCCTCGTGGGTGTTTTTTGGTGTCCTCATTCACTCTGCAGCAACACTCCTCATACTGAAGCTAAAGATTCCTTCAGCGCCAAAAATCCTGTGGGGTTTGCTCATCAAGTGGATTACTACTAGAACAAGTGTAACGTGAAAGTGAGGATAGGGACGTGCTGAACCTGGGGCATATGACGGTGGCAGCTTGGAAGTGTTGCTCGCCCCAGTTTGCTCAGGAGTACTCTATGCCAGTGCAGTGCTCCTGGCATAGGAGGGTGACAGCTTGGAGGTGCTGTTCCACCCAGCCTGCTGAATCCAAGGGCCTATGAGGGTGACAGCTTGGAAGTGCTTTTCCACCCAGCCTGCTGAGTCCAGGGACATCTAAGGGGTCAGCTTGAGAGTGCTGATTGACCCAGTCCTCTCAGACACTCTCTGTTAATGTGTGTGTGTGTGTTTGTTTGATTCTGGAGTGGAAGAACCCAGCCCTGTGGAACCTCGGTCCTGCAGGATAGTGTTATCCGAAATTGGGCCAGCTAGTAAGCTTAGGGAGGACTAATGACCACCAGAGTTTGGCAGAAAGCAGCATGTTTATTATTCTGATAGCTAAGCTCAAAAGAAAAGGAGGGGGGGAGTCATACTCACACTCACATACTCACGCTCCCAGGACAGGCACGGCATTGGAGATGCCAGGATCTTTCAAGGTAAGTGTCCCACAGTGCAGCAATGGATGGTGTGATGAAGATAAGTCTTCCCAAGGCACGATGGAATGCAACGCAGCGGTACACGCTTATGAGTGCACACTTGAGCACATGGCACCTTCCCCATTTAAGGACCTGCTCCTCATGGCCTGCGACTAGAGATGACTTGGCCGCATCTGGTTGGTCACACTCCACCTCAGGCAGTGTCCAGCCAGTGTCCATGCATTGGGTGTGTGATCGCTGCCTAATTAGAGTCCCAGACACTTTGTCTACCTTGGAGCTCTTCTGAAGCAGCCCATTCATCCCACAAGCATTCCAGGAGGGAGTGGGAGGGGGAAAGCCACTTCACAGGTATTCAAAGAGGGAGAGGAGACAAAACCGGGGAAGGGGGGGAGGGAGGGAGGAAGTGTAACAGACCTTTTGAGCATAGAGGTTATACATAGCGTAGTCATACAGAGCATACAGATCACTGCTGCTCCTACAACACTCTGCCCCTTGATCTATGATCATTACAGTAGTTGTTGTCCTTGTAGGGCACAGGTGATCTGTTGCAAACAGACCAAACAATCATAACTAGGTCAATATATCTAAAATCATTACAATTGACTAAACACCAGATATAATATAAACACAAATGCAAACAATCACAATTATAATAATTGGGAATACAATAAAACCATCATCATTACAGTAATTGGGTACATTGACAAACAAAACGAGGCCCAAGTTTAATGCTGCAATAGCCATCAAACAATAAAAGTCAACCCTAACCCTTAAGTACACACAACAAATAAGATTTGTAGGAGTACCACAGTTGGAAAGTGGAATTAACAATACAAGAAAATGTAACTAACAATACAAATGTATCAATAACAAAACTTAACAGCAAAATGATTATTAGAGAATCTAACAAAAAATAAACCTGATGTATTGGGGACCAAAGTCTTTTGGACAGAGGTGGATGTGAGTGATAATTTGGTTGGAGATGGGGGAAGCAGAGAGAGGAAAATGCATTTATCCTGTCTAGTGTAGTATCCCCTCTCTCTCTGGGCCCAATGCTAGCACAAGACACCCACCAGAGACAGACACAGAACATGCAATACAGACTTTGCCGCAACACTATAACCATGGTATTTCTATAACTCGTCAGCTGGTACCAGCTCTCCTGATGTTCCAGTTTGGAGGCTGAAAGATAGAAGCTCAGAAACAAATTAGAACAGTGCTCCCGCCGCGGCAGACCCTGATCTTTGAGTTGTCCGTGGTGTACCCATTTTCCCTCCGGGGTTTTTGCTAACTCTATTGCTTGCTTGAGAGTCAACTTGGTCTCTGCCACAGTGTGTCCAGTACTTGGAGCTGCCTTTCTTCCTGCGGGTGCAGGCCCATAGTTTTGGACCACCCTCTGGACTGCTGCAACATGGTGTCTGGGGTTTGGCCATCTGGGGTCCGGATCCAGGGGATCCAGATCAAACCAGATATCCCTGTCCCAATCATCATATGGTCCTGCATCCCCCTGGGCTTTCACCCCAATGGCAGCAACCCAGGCTGAATAAGCCCCACGGACCCTGTTCTCCCAGGCGGACCCCTCCAGGACCAGATCCTTCAGGCAGGTAACTGCCTGGCTCAGAGTGGCATTCTCTGTTTCCACCCGCTGCCTCTCCTCCTCTGCTGTGGCTGCCTGTACTGCTGCCACAGAGAGGGAAGAAGCCTGGGCGCTAGCAGTCAAAGTCTGCGCCTTCCACATATCCCGTTCCTTCTCCAACTCATTACATTGGTCCTTGAGTGAATCTATTTCAATGGCGAGCTGACTCTTTGCTGCCTGCCATTGCCAGCCTGCTTGCCACAGGAGCCAGGCAGCTGCAAGATCCAGTCCCACCTTATTGGGACTGTTTATAAGTGCATATTGATCCAACATGAGCTCTAGTTCAGGAATTGTATTCCCAGGTGGAACTGCCCCTGGCATCCAGGGGTCTGCCCCTTTCTTTTGGGGCCATTCTAACAACACCCCAGGCGGCCAGAGTTTGGCAGAAAGCAGCATGTTTATTATTCTGATAGCTAAACTCAAAAGAAAAGGGCGGGGGTGTGTGTGTCACACTCACATATTCACGCTCCCAGAACAGGCACAGCACTGGAGATGTCAGGATCCTTCAAGGTAAGTGTCCCACTGGGCAGCAATGGATGGTGTGATGAAGGTAAGTCTTCCCAAGGCACGATGGACTGCAACACAGTGGTACAAGCTTATGAGTGCACACATGAGCACATGGCCCCTTCCCCTTTTAAGGACCTGCTCCTCGTGGCCTGCGACTAGAGATGACTTGGCTGCTTCTGGTTGGTCACACTCCACCTCAGGCAGTGTCCAGGCATTGGGTGTGTGATCACTGCCTAATTAGAGTCCCAGACACCTTGTCTACCTTGGAGCTCTTCTGAAGCAGCCCATTCATCCCACAAATGTAACCCTTCTGCCCATCAGAGTTGGCAGCAACAAGGGCCGGGTTCAATATCTAGGGGATCCATTCCAATAACACAATGCAAACCGGCTCGAGCCCCCACCCAGTGACCTGGGACAAATATATACCACCCCCGCTGGGCGCCTCCAAGAGGTAATACTTCCCGTCTCGCAAGCACCTAGTCTGAGTGTAACAAAAAGCCTTTTAATAACAGAAAGAAACAATGTGGCATTATGTTGGGGAAACTCCGCCAACAGGATTCGTAACACAACCCATGAGCAAAAAACCCATCCCAAGCAAATTGGGGCATGCCCTTTCCCTTTGGTTCTTGAGTCCAGCAACCCCAAATCACCCAAAGTCCCAAAAGTCCAATGACCCAAAAGTCTCTGTCCCTGGTCAGGGCAGCCCCAGAGTTCAAAAGTTTATCTGCAGAGCTTTACCTCCCAACCTGGGTGGAGATGGGGGCGGGGGTAAAAGGCACCTTACATGATCTGAAGCTGACCGCCCCACAGCTCCATAGGCCTTCGCTCTGCTCCGCTCCGCTCCACTCCACTCCACTCCACCAGCCGCCCCACAAACTGCTTCACTCCGCTCCGTGGCCCACAAGCAGCTCCCACCGTCCCACGAACTGCTCTGCTCCGCGTCCCACCAGCAGCTCCCGCCGTCCTATGAAAACTGCTCCACCAGCCTGTCCACAAGGCACTCCAACCATCCCGCAAACTTCTCCACAATATATCTTCAGGCTCCCCTACTACTTAACACAACACTCAGTGATTTCAGCTCTTAGTCAGGTCAGCTCTTTGGTGAATTCAGCTTGTAGTAGGGGAGCCTCAGTACTAGTGCACCATTAGCCCAAAGTGAGCTCAGCAGCCTGTAACTAGACTCCAAATGAAATCAAAATTAGCTCTGATATTCCACAGTAGAGAGAGGACAAAGTGCAATTAGCATGTAAGGCCCTCACCAAAGGGCCCATGCCACCAAGTATTAATACTTGTCCCCAGCCTCTCTCAATTCACAAAGTTTTGGAACCCATGACCCTTGCCTAGCAAGTGCTACTTAGTTGATGGTGGGTCCCTCCATCATAACAAAAGGCCAAGTACAGTTCCAAGCACAGTTCCCATAATCAGGGTAATAACAATTTATTCTTCCTGCCCCAATAACAGAGACACTGGGGATCCCACTGCAGCCAAAGTGACCATTTGGGCAGCTATTGCCTCATTCTAGGCGGGGTGGGTGTGCCTATGCAAATGAGATCGGCCCCTGAAGTTCTTTTCCACAACTTGCCACACCTCACCACCAGATGTCAGGGTGGAGCTCATCCTGACACTGCTTACACAAGCATTCCAGGAGGAAGGAGGAGGAGGAAAGCCACTTCACAGATATTCAAAGAGGGAGAGGAGACAAAAGGAGGGGAGAGTGTAATAGACCTTTTGAGCATAAAGATTATACATAGCATAGTCATACAGAGCATACAGATCATTGCTGCTCCTACAACAGATCGTACCACTGGGTGGAAACTTGCAGCAGGGAAAAGTAGAGCTCCGTATGAGAACACAAGTATCACAAGCAATACACTGATAGAATTACAGACCTCCCCTCCCCCAGAAGAGTAACCCTGATAAATGAGCATATCCCAAAGTAACAGGCAAATCTGGTAACACTAATGTTGGTTATTATTGTGATGACAATAACTGAGGAGCTCCGATACCTGCATCCTTCCAGACCCGCTACATTTTACTGAAAATATGTACAAGTGCCAAATATTATTTTTATGATTTTCTTTTTATTAGTCCATCTCTCCCGGTAGTAATCTTTCATTGATTTCTGCATCTCTGTGATGTCTCACTTAAGCCCAAGAGATGGCATGATATTATCATTCACTCACTGTATGCTGGCTGCTATTGTACTACAGGGCTGCTGCATTGCTTTATAAATAGCATGGATTCAGGAATTCACTTTAATTTGAAATGTATTGTTAGAGATGACCTTTAAAAGGTCAGCTATGGCTTTGTCACCCCTCCTTTTCTCAGCATACTCTGGATCATATTGCTCTTACTTTGGTACAATTTATTAATTACATGTTCCCAGAAGCTGAGCAGTAAGCAGCTAGATGGAGACAATGAGATGAGTAATTAAAAGAATTAATGAAGTGGATTAAATGAATGGATTAAAGCCAAAATGGGGCCTGCAATCACCAAAATGGTAGGTCTCCCCCAAAATGCTGGTATTCCCACAACACACACCCTTCCAGCTGGACATTTGTCTTTACCCAGAGTCCTTGATCTTCCTTCTAATCCAGGTATCTCAGTCAGTGCAACACCAGGTTAGTCCAATAGCATCTTGCATCCCCTCCTATTGCATCATCTCCTGCATCTCTGTGGGTACTTTCTATATATTTCATATTCTCCTGCTGCTCTGCCTCTAACTCAGGGCTCTATCTGGGCCCAGAGCTACATAATAAAAGATGGCAAGGAGTGGGTGACAATGCATATTAATCCTGTATCAAATGGGTAGGCCATCAAGAGAATTCTAGGAAGCTGGGGGGATTCCCTCATTGTTGTTGTCCAGACCACAAGAATACAAGGATCCTTCTTTATCCACCCCTAAAGATTCACTGGCCCAGATCACCCCTTCCTGTGGCAATTCCTTTATGACCAGGTTTGGGGGGATGTAAAGACTCCCTGACTGAGTTTTTCCTAAATCTTCTTGTCAGAGGAAGGAATTATCTTCCTCCCACTTCTCCCCTCAGAACTGACAGTGGTTTCACTCCAAAACTCGGGATGGAGCCCAGTGGATTTGTAGGAGACTCATGCCCTCCCTATGTGGAGCAGGTGATGTATAAGGAGGTAAGTATGGCTGTGGAGATCAAAACTGATTCTTCAGCATGGAAGGTGGGGTTCTGAACGATAGGGAGCAGAATGGACTGCAGCAGGCTGTAGTTTACAGCAGGCTTTGGTTGCTGTGTTATGTAATATTTAAGTAAAATCAATGGGGTGTTAGAAATAAGCTCTCTGTGCCCTTAATAAGAACCATACACTCTGTAGGGAGGATCTGTGGCTCCATACCAGTTGTAGGGGCCCCTACTGGTGTCCCCAGCTTCTTAGTTACACAGCTGGGGAGTTGTTCTGCATGGAGGTGTGTGTGTGCATGTGGCTTGTGTGTTAGTGTGGCTGTTGAAGGTAGGGAGGGGCAGAGAGAAATGGGCATTCCCCCACATGCCTCCTCTGTGTCCAGCCACCCTCTGCTCAGCCACACAAGTGCGATCCTTCCACTCCCCTACCATATTGGAAAGTAATCCAATTTGTTTTGCTAAATTTCCTTTGTTCAAGTTTCTTTTCCGTGAATCAGAAATCATACTCGTCAAATGTAAAATCAACATCCATTCCAAATTTAAAATAAGCTATTTTATGATCGGAATTTACTCCATAAACATAACAGATTTCCTTACAAGTGGTCTCAGGCTATTTTCTATTGTGAATAACTTGAATTTCCTCTTTTCCTTCTTTTAAACATCCTCATGGAGATAACTGACATGCAATTTGAAATTTGGGCCCATACTCAATCCACTGCTTGTGCCTGCAGTAGCAAAGCATACATAAACTCCCAATGTAGACCAGAAATAACACACAATGAGGACAAATGCATTCCCTGGAGTAACTCAACTGAAGTCAACAGAGCTACATGAGGGACGAATTTAGCCCACTATGATCACTAACAAAGCAGATGCACTTAGATATAGAGATGTAGCCGTATGGAAATAAATGCTTGACAAAGAAACCTGCCAGTATTCCAGAGTAATGCTGCCTCCAGAAATTAAAATCTGCATCCTGTGGTGTACATCACATATGCTTGCTTACATCCATGGTTATGTGTAATTTTGTTTTCCTTTTGAAAATCAACTGTGCCATATGTGCCCTCTAGTGGGACTGGATAATTACACAAAGTGTGTTCTGCTCTGAAAAGTACCTTTTTACTCAACAGATCAACTCCCTGTGTGTATTCAGAGTCATACTCACATTAGGCTCCAAAAAAGTTTGTACAGTTTTTTAATCTTACTGCAAAGCTAATGCAATAATCAGCAAGTGAGCTGGATTTTATTCTTGCTGTGCATCAACAAATTCCAATTGCGGGACCAGATTATGTGCTCAGTTACACTTGTGTTACTCCACTGAAGACTTACAATGTATACAGTCGTAATTGAGACCAGAATGGGAAGATAATGGGATTGAATAGGTGTAACTCTGGAGAATTTGGCCTGCAGAATCTTCATTACTTGTGATGATGAGTCAGAAAAAATCCATCCTGACTTTCAAAAAACAGACTGAGTCTGCTGGGTTGGCAGTTAGAAAATATCCTTCTCTTTAGCTATAAACTAAGCAAATTTGGTATGGAGTCACTGAGACACAGTACACATAGAACCCCACTATGCCATTTGAATGAATTATCTCTGAGAGGCTTTTTACTAACCAACTGTAAATTTTCTGTACTCATAAAATAAGAAAACAGCAAACAAATCAATTACCACATTAACACAAATGATAATTTTAATAAGAATTTGATATGGAAATTCAATTTCCACTGTTAACAAGTTATTTTTATCAGAAGTTCTGACGTGTAGATTATGAAAAAGATTAAGTTAATCCATGCAAGGTGATTGTTTGAAAAATGAAAGAGGAACAATTAATCTCTGTATTATTTAGTGTGCATATGCAAGAGAGAAAGAGATGGGGGGTGGGAGTGCAAGGTCTCCCAAATAAAGTCAGCCTGAAACATTGTTTAAGGCCGGAAGCAAAACAGCTTTGCAGTTATATTACATGGAAAAGATTCCAGCACCATCCTCCACAAACTAGGAGTGGGAAACCTACATCGGTAGTATCATAAATATAAAGGGAAGGGTAAACCCCTTTGAAATCCCTCCTGGCCAGGGGAAAACTCCTCTCACCTGTAAAGGGTTAAGAAGCTAAAGGTAACCTCGCTGGCACCTGACCAAAATGACCAATGAGGAGATAAGATACTTTCAAAAGCTGGGAGGAGGGAGAGAAACAAAGGGTCTCCGTCTGTCTATATGCTGTTTCTGCTGGGGATAGAACAGGAATGGAGTCTTAGAACTTTTAGTAAGTAATCTAGCTAGGTATGCGTTAGATTATGATTTCTTTAAATGGCTGAGAAAAGAATTGTGCTGAATAGAATAACTATTTCTGTCTGTGTATCTTTTTTGTAACTTAAGTTTTTGCCTAGAGGGATTCTCTATGTTTTGAATCTAATTACCCTGTAAGGTATCTACTATCCTGATTTTACAGAGGGGATTTCTTTACTTCTATTTACTCCTATTTCTATTAAAAGTCTTCTTGTAAGAAAACTGAACGCTTTTTCATTGTTCTCAGATCTAAGGGTTTGGGTCTGTGGTCACTTATGCAAATTGGTGAGGCTTTTTATCCAACATTTCCCAGGAAAGGGGGGGTGCAAGTGTTGGGAGGATTGTTCGTTGTTCTTAAGATCCAAGGGTCTGGGTCTGTAGTCACCTAGGCAAATTGGTGAGGCTTTTTACCAAACCTTGTCCAGGAAGTGGGGTGCAAGGTTTTGGGAAGTATTTTGGGGGGAAAGACATTTCCAAACAGCTCTTCCCCAGTAACCAGTATTTGTTTGGTGGTGGTAGCGGCCAATCCAAGGACAAAGGGTGGAATATTTTGTACCTTGGGAAGTTTTGACCTAAGCTGGTAAAGATAAGCTTAGGAGGTTTTTCATGCAGGTCCCCACATCTGTACCCTAGAGTTCAGAGTGGGGGAGGAACCTTGACAGGTAGCTTCACCAGGCTGCCCACCTTGACACTGTGGATCAGACTCTTCTTCTCAAAATCCTGTCATCCTTGGATTTTGTGAACATGCTTGACTGCTCTCATGCACTGCCCCCCAATCTCCTCCCTTTAATTAATGATAAAACCTGATCTTCCTCACCATAATCATCCTAGCAATAAGTTACAGGTCTCTCACCCTAACTTTAGAGACAGGTTATCTTTGGCTGACATTTCATCTTATCAAAGTTCTGTAATATAACATGGTATATCCACAAAGCATCCCCATGATGGCAATTGTGTATGTAGCTCTAAGCATGTCCATTGACTTAAATGGGACCGAAGTACAAGGGTGCTTCAGTGTTTTGCTGATCATAACCAGTACCTAAATCTTCACCCAGACAGTGCAGTATGGAGCAGTAATGTAAAATGCTCCCACCAGCTCACCTTGCTCAGAAGCTGGGCAACCATGTTCAACACTAGCTGATGCTTCCTAGAGTATGTCTACACTATGATAAGAAACTCATGGCACTGAGTCACAGAACACAGGTCAACTAACTTGGGCTAGCAAGGCTTGGGCCATGGGCCTAAAAATAGCACTGTTGACAGTCAGGCTGGAGGACGTAGGCTCTGAGACCCTCCCCACTCATGGTGCCTCAGAGGCCAGGCTCTATCAACCTGAGCCTGAACATCTGCAGAGCTATTTTATTGCCCCACAGCCTGAGCCCTGCAAACCCAAATCAGCTGACCCAGGCCAACTGCAGCTGTGCCACAGGCTTTTTATTGCTATGTAGACATCTCTCTAGTGGCCTTTATAGACAGCCAGGTAGAGCCTGTTGCAGGAATCAACTCTAGAGATAATAAAGGCATAGATACAATTTCCCCCACCCCCGCCAGCACTGAAGTCCAGATTCAGCAAGACACTGCTTAGCTTTAAGTGCATATATAGTTCTACTGAAGTCAATAGGCTATTCATATGCTTAAGTACCTTGCTGATTCAGAATCTGTCTTTCTCCTCATTCATTTCCCTCCCCTTCTCTGTCTATTCTTGGTCTCTCCCTCCCTTCCCCTTTGCTCTGCCCCTTTCTTTCTGCTCATGTTCTTTCCTTCTTACCTCTCTGCCCACTTTGAGTTCCCTACCAACCTTCCAGTTGGCTTCTCATCCCGTTCCTCCTTCGTTTTTACCCCCTTATGCCACCATCCATTTTTCCTCTTTTTTTCTATCCTTTCTCCAGCTTTCTTACTTAAATATTAAGGGGCATTTTGCTTCCAAAGTTCTGAGCTCCAAGCTTGCCTCATTATCCTACCCATTGTAAAGGCCTGGGAGAAGTAGCCACTCCAACAGCACTCTCTCACTGATGGGGATCTTCTCCTGACTTTGCCTCACAGTGACATGCATGCTACAGGCAGAATGAGAAGCAAAGTCCCAGCTGCATGAAACAGTGCACATCTGGTGGCATGGGAACTGCATACAGAGATCAGGTTTCAGAGTAACAGCCGTGTTAGTCTGTATTTGCAAAAAGAAAAGGAGTACTTGTGGCACCTTAGAGACTAACCAATCATGCTCAAATAAATTGGTTAGTCTCTAAGGTGCCACAAGCACTCCTTTTCTTTTTGCAGACAGAGAGCAGCTCCCAAAACTGAGAGCAGGATCAGCAAGGGAATTATCATTTGAGTAAAGTACCAGAGCAAACATAAAAAACGTAAGAATGATTGTACTGGTCAGCCCACTAGTCCACCTAGGCAAGTATCCTGTCTTCAGGCAGAGGCCAGGGCCAGCACTCTGCCTAATCCTCCACTCTGTTACACCCTTACCAGTACACTCACTCCTGGGGCCTTCTTCACCACTCTCTTACGCCAGTGTTAAGCTGGTGTGACTCCAGTGCACTCAATGGTGTTACACGGGGGTAAAACGTGCCTACGTGACGGGAGAGTCAGGCCCCCTGACACAAACGCAGCACACTGCAGTATCTTTAGGTCGACAACGGCTGCCGCGCGCTCATCAGGCCGAGCCAGACCCGCCGCCGCAACCCCGCCGTCCGCATCGCTAGCTCGGCCATCGATTCGCCTCACTTCCCCCCCTCCTCCGCGCGGCCTGTCCCCTTTCCTCTTCAATCGGTGCTCGATTCCTTGCCGCCAGGGCTGAGCCAGGGAGAGAATCAAGATGGCGGACAAAACGCCAGGCGGGTCGCAGAAAACCAGTGCGAAGGTGAGGCCGCCTCGCGGGCCCTGTAAGCGGCGCCGCTGCTCGGGGCCCGCTCGGGGCACGGAGGGTAGCGGCATCCAGCCCCGGAGGCGGGGGAGCCAGGGCGTGCGGGACGCACGGACCCAGGTGCGCAGGCCCTGCGGCCTGCTCCGTCCCTCCCCTCCGTGGCGTTACTGCGGGCTGCTGGCGGCGGGACGGATGGGGCAGTGGGGAAGGGCTAGAGCAGCAGGGAGGTCGGGGTCCAGGGTTTCTCCTACTGCTTAGCTAGCATCAAAAGGTGGGGGAGGTCTAAGGCCTGTGGGAAGCGCCCCCCTCCCTGCACCATTAGCCCGCGGGGCCCCCTCCCGGCACCCAGTGCTGGCACCACGTTCTCCCGGGGCGGGGGTTGTGTTGGGGCAGAGCGGGGTGCATCTGCAACCTTGCTCCTCTGGGTTTGCCCTCTCCCAGCGCTGCACTTCTGGGGGGGTGGGATCGATGCCCTCCCTTTACCTGGATTTATGTTAAACTAGTTCTCTTGCTCATTTGGGATGGATTTTGCCACAGTTTTGTTTCACTGAAACACTCACAATCTCAGTAGCTTTACAGGGCCTTGTTTGAAGGCCTTATTTTTAAAGCTTCTTGCTCTGGTGATGAACAGTTTTGTTGTAAATTTCAGTTCCAGATTGAAACCATTTCCCCTTTACTCTCTGTTTTATGCCTAAATTATTTATTATAATGTCTCTGTTAGGGTGGGGGGCAACTCAGGTGTTCTTAGGCCATGTTTACATTACCATTTATGTCAGTAAAACTTATGTCACTCAAGGACGTGAAAGAAACACCCCACGAGGGACATAAGTTTTGCCATCATAAATGGTAGTGTGCACAGCACTATATTGGTGGGAGAGTGTCTCCTGTTGACTTAGCTAGCTGCTCATTGAAGTATTTTTATGTCAACCAGAGCACTCTCTCCCACTTTGTCATAGAGTGGCTAAATGAGGAATCTTATAGCTGCACGGCTGTGCATCTGTAAACTCGCTAGTGTAGATGTGGCCAGTGACTCTGAAGAAACAGACAGAGACGTCCAAAATTACATGGCAAATCAGCATTTTCTAGTGTCTGATTCCTAGTCCTGTGCTCAGACTACTAGGCAGTTTTTCAGATGTTTTTGGTGTGACAACATTGCAGCCTCATGGAATGCATTTTCTCTGTGTTCCCAATTCCCATTGCTGACATGATTTCCTATAATACTGGAATAATCCAATATTTCCTACAATCCTGCAGCAACATTTGCACAGATCCTGTGTCCCCGTGGAGCCCCCATGCAGTTGTAGGATTGGGGCATATGAACCATATCCTCTTGACTCAAAAGTCTAGAAATGTTTGGAGTTTATATTTTTGTGGTAGTGGGTGGAAATGAGGAAGAGGTTGTTATAATAATCAAAGGCCTCAATCCTGCAGACACGTGCATGTGCTTAACTTGATTCACATAGGTATTCCAATTTCCTACTTTGGAAATATTAAACCTGTTTAGGGAATGTTTCCCGATTGTGGATTAGAAATTCGTAGTTAATTTGAGATTGACTTTTCTGTTTCCATCTCCCGCTTCTCACTTCTGGTTGAAATCATTGGTGTTTTCCCTCAGTGAGCCAACTTTATTGTGCATAATTAACGCTGCTGAGGATTGAGAGGCTCGAGTCAAAACTATATGGTAGCCACTGGCTGGCTTGTTTAAAGCCACATAGGAAATCTGCATTTGATCAGGGTGGATGCTTAGGAGTAATACCTAGAAGTGGGAGAAACATTTGTTGCCTGAATCTCCCACAAAAGTCTACTCCAATGGTTGGGTGCTCTCCAGCACCTGGTAATGATCCTAGGGATAGTGAAGCCATAAATTCTCTTCCACTCAATCCCATTGCAGGTATTAAGCTGTGTCTACACTATGGACCTTATAGCAGCACAGCTACACTGCTGCAGCTACACCGCTGTCAGGTCTCCTGTGTAGCTGCTCTATGCTCACGGGAGATTAAAGCACTCCCAATGAGCAGCAGTAGCTATGTCAGCATGAGAGCATCTCCCACCGACATAGAGCTGTCCACACCAATGCTTTTGTCGGTGAAACTTATGTTGGTTTGGGGTGTGTTATTTCACACCTGTGGCCGACAAAAAGTGCTATTGTAGACAAAGCCTTAGAGTGGCCAGCCAGTAACAGTATGTAGTTCTTCCTAGCAGCTGGCTATTCAGTCTTCCCAAGCGGAAGGGTTGTGGGCCAGGAATAGGATATGGGACTTGGAGAACCAAGATTCTGTTTCTGTTGCTACTCAATATGTAAATTATTTAACCTCTTACTCAATTTTTCCTTTCACCAAAGTGGGGATAACTTATCCAGCTCAGATGAAATGAACGATATATAGATATTAAATATATAAATGTCCCCCATCACTGGGGTGTTGTTTTTTTCCCCCGTTGATCTATTCCAAGTATGATCAGAGAGCCTTATTTCCCCAGTCACTGCCTTCAACCAGGAAGTGGACCCAGAGTTTGGGAAGGGAAAATATACACTCAAGCTAAACTTTATATATGGGGACTTAGCGGTGGAAGTGTTTTATGATGAAAACTGTTCTTGTATTCAAGGGTAATTAGGAAGAGGTACATTAAAGTGTTGACCCGAATCAATATTTTGCCTTCCTCTGCAACATTGGGTATGGGTCATTAGAGTAAACAGTAGATTCCCTATAACTTGAAGTCAAAAATTGTCATCTTCATCACTTAACAGTGCAAGGAAATGCACACTCTGCATTGCTTTAAGTGAGGCAGTGTATTAATAAAATCTGGGAAATAGCACTCATCTTTTTCTGAGTTAACAGCTTTCTCTGGTGAGTCACTATGTGCCAGGAACAGTGAAGTAAAATCTACAAAAATGTGCTGAGTTTCAGTGTGGTTGCTGTCCATAAGATTTGAAGAAGCAGTGGTGTTAACTTTCAGGTGGTATTTTAATTTTCATTGTGTTGCTACTTAAACTTGTAAGCAGGAATGAAAGAGATGGGTACTCACTCCTTCGCCCCTGGAAAAATATAAAAGAAGTATGTGTCCTTCTCTTTCTTCCTCTGCTTTCCAGCAGCGATGGGTTGAATACCGGCTGCACCTGCTTTTACAAGTTTAGCAGTAGCAGTATAGTAATAAATTAAAATGTCATGTGCTTCAGAAGAAATGACTTCTGATTCTTTATTCAGGTCTACAAGTGATACAGATTTAACTAGTGAAATAGGAAATACACATAGGTATAAAATTTAATTTCCAGAAATTTTTGCTTATTTTGATATAAACTTTTTGTAGACAAGTATGTTAAGAGGAGGGGTGAAGAAAGTAGTGGGCCTTGAAAAATGCAGTTTCTCTTAGTGAATGGGAAGATTTCCCTTTTGAGCATTAGAACTTAAATTATTAGTTTCTACTGAGTTAAAGCTTATATACGAGTATAAATGTGAAGCCCTTAAAATTTCAAGATAACCCGTATAAAGTGGGCAGATACAACATTGTCTTTCTGATGTTTTAGACAGCAATTGCTTTTGCTACTTTTTATAGTCTTGCCCAGCAGCAACAATATGTATTTAATAAAACTCAGTTTCAGTGCTGCTGTTCAGAATCCTGTGAGCAGTAGTAAAACTACTATATCAAGAATCCTGTCAATTTCACCCTGTGAGTTAGGTTTTTAAAAACCTATCGGGGCCACTGCCGCTCCTGCAGCTACATTTTATTATTAAAGCTCACATTTGGAATTATTTACAGGGAAGAGGGCTCAAAATAAGAGGTTGGAGGGAAGCCTCTTTTCTTCCCCACCCTTTATTTGTAGCAGCCATGGGGGGAAATGGGGGCGAGGGGGGGGGGAGTTTGAGTTTGAAGAGCTGAGGCCAGATTTTCAGCTCTTCTGTAGGACTGTTTGCACTTCTCTGATGATAAAAAGCAGCTGTAAATGTGGCTTCTCTGGCACCATGAGCATTGCTCTTGTGGAAGCAAAGTGGCTAAGTGGCGTAGAGCCAATGTATTGGCATTATCTCACCACTTTTCTAAGCCTTTACCCTTAAAAGTTAGATCAACCTAGCTGCTTTGCTCATGAAAAATTTTGTGTCCTGAGTGCCGAAGTTAGGTTGACTGAACTGCTGGCATAGGTGTGTCTGTGTCAGTGGTCCCCAAACTTTTGTATTGGGGACCCCTTTCACACAGCAAGATTCTGAGTGCGACACCCCCCCAAAAATTAAAAACACATTTTTTAAATATTTAACAGCATTATAAATGCTGGAGACAAAGCAGGGTTTGGAGGTGGAGGCTGACAGCTGGTGACCATCCACATAATAACCTCATGACCCCCTGAGGGGTCCCAACCCTCAGTTTGAGAACCCCTGGTTTATGTCAGTGGAAGATGTCTCTGGTGCTGTAGTGTAGACATGCTCCTACTATGAAGGTGTGATGTGGTGTCCTTATGCCTCAGTGATTCCCAGCTGCCAGAATAGACCCTTGGGGGCTATTGGCCATTGGTGCAACTTAGAGATGCTTCAAGTTGTGCCTTGAAATCCTCTCAGTAACTTCATGATCAAATGGCTTAAAGCTGTAAAAATCTGCATCTTTGAAGCATTCAGGGGGTTCTCCAGGAGAAGAAAGAGATACTCTTCTTCCTTTGAGGAGCTAGAGGGGAGATAGAGCTCAAATGTATTAGAAACTACTAGCTAGAAGCTGATAGGAATGCTGGAGTCTCAAGAAGTGGCTTTGGATGGCATCTTGATAATAAATTCTAGTGTCTGGAGGAGTGGAGGCTCAGTTTCTTTCCAGTGCAGTGACCCTCACCTATGGGCCCCTTGTCTTTTATATCTACTTGTGTCTAGT